AAGATACAGAAGGCCATTACATAATGATAAAAGGTTCAATCCATCAACAAGAAATATCCATCTTAAACATATATGCACCAAACATAGGAGCACCAACTTTCATAAAGCAGCTCCTAGGTAAACTAAAAACAGATATCGACTCCAATACCACCAAAGTTGGGGACTTCAATACCCCACTCACAACCCTACACAGATCATCAGGACAAAAAATCAGCAATGAGATCCGAAACCTCAATGTGACTCTCAATCAAATGGACTTAATTGATACCTACAGAACCCTCCATCCAAAGACCACAGAATACACATTCTACTCATCACCACATGGAATGTACTCTAAGATCGACCACACACTTGGCCATAAATCAAGCATAAGCAAATTTAAAAGGACTGAAATTTTACCATGCACCTTCTTGGACCACAGTGGAATAAAAATAAACATTAACACCAACAAGGTCCCCCCAAAACCTACAAACACATGGACACTAAACAGCATGATGCTAAACAACTCCTGGGTCAATGATGAAATCAAAACAGACATTAAAAGATACATGGAAGCAAATAAAAATGAAGAAACATCTTACCAAAATCTCTGGAATGCCATGAAAGCTGTAGTAAGCGGGGAATTTATATCCCTACAAATGCACATGAAGAAAATGGAAAGATCACAAGTTAACAGCCTAAGAAGCCACCTAAAAAAGTTGGAAAAGCAAGACCACAAAAACCCTAATTTCAGCAGAAGAATCCAGATCACCAAAATAAAAGCCCAAATCCAGGACACAGAAGACAAAAAGATAATACAAAAAAAATCAATGAAACAAAAAGCTGGTTCTTCAAAAGGATAAACAAGACTAGCTAGACTGACCAAGAAAAAGAGAGAAAAAGCCCAAATAAACACAATCAGAAACACAAAAGATGAAGTCACATCTGATCCTGAAGAAATACAAAAGATCATCAGAGACTACTATGTACACTGTATGGAAACAAACTTGAAAACCTTTCGGAAATGGAGGACTTTCTATCATCACACAACCTGCCTAGGTTGAAACAAGAAGAAATTGAGACCCTAAATAGACCAATAACAGTCAAGGAAATTGAATGCATAGTAAGAAACCTACAAAAAAAAGCCCTGGACCAGATGGCTTTCCAGCAGAATTCTACAAGACATTTAAGGAGGAGCTGATACCAATCCTACTGAAGGTATTCCAGGTGATTGAGAAAGACGGAACTCTCCCCAAATCATTTTATGAAGCCAAGATCACATTGATACCCAAGTCAGGTAAAGACCCAACAAAGAAAGAGAACTACAGGCCAATATCTTTGATGAACATAGATGCTAAAATTCTCAACAAGATCCTAGCGAACTGTATTCAACAACACATCTCAAAAATCATCCATCATGATCAAGTAGGCTTCATCCCTGGGATGCAAGGCTGGTTCAACCATGAATGTAATTAAATACATCAACAGATGTCAAAACAAAAACCACATGATTATATCATTAGACGCAGAAAAAGCTTTTGACAAAATCCAGCACCCCTCTTGATAAAAACCCTCAAACAGCTAGACATACAGGGAACATACCTCAAAATAGCAAAAGCCATCTACGAGAAACCCACAGCCAGCATACTCCTAAACGGACAAAAACTGGAACCATTACCCCTGAAAACTGGAACAAGACAAGGATGCCCACTCTCACCCCTCCTGTTTAATATAGTATTGGAAGTCCTGGCTAGAGCAATCAGAGAAGAGAAGGCAATCAGGGTATTTAAATAGGAAAAGAAGAAGTCAAGCTATCTCTCTTTGCAGATGACATGATCGTGTACCTTGAAAACCCAAGAGAATGTGTCAAAAACCTCCTTACACTGATAAAGGCCTTTGCAAAGCCTCAGGATATAAAATAAATGTGCAAAAGACAATCACATTTCTTTACCCCAATAATAAACAAACAGAAACCCAAATAAAAACCACAATTCCATTCACAATAGCCACCAAAAAAAATGAAATACCTTGGCATCTTCCTAACCAGAAACGTGAAAGATCTTTACAATGAAAACTACAAAAGATTGCTCAAAGAAATCAAAGATGACACAAACAAGTGGAAAAATATCCCATGCTCATGGATTGGAAGAATCAATATTGTGAAGATGTCCATCCTACCTAAGGCAATCTACAGATTTAATGCAATAACCATCAAATTACCAACAACATTCTTCTCAGACCTAGAAAAAACAACACAGGAATTCATATAGAAACACAAATAACCAAGAATAGCCAGAACAATCCTCAGCAAAAAAAAAAACAAAGCAGGTGGTAATACATTACCAGACTTCAAACTTTACTATAAAGCTACAATAATCAAAACAGCTTGGTATTGGTTCAGGAACAGCATATAGATCAATGGAATAGAATTGAGATTCCAGAAGCAAAACCTCAATTTCTCAACCAACTCATCTTCGACAAAGCCTCCACCGCCTACCACTGGGGAGAGGTGAACCTATTCAGTAAATGGTGCTGGGAAAACTGGCTGACCACATGCAGAAGACTGAAACAGGACCTCTATCTATCCGCATACACAAAAATTAACTCTAAATGGATCACAGACGTAAATGTAAAACCTCAAACCATAAGAAACTTAGAAAATGAAGGACATACCCTCATGGAAATTGGAACTGGCATCCAGTTCCTGAACAAAACCCGAAACCCACAGGCCATAAGAGATAAGATAGACAAGTGGGACCTCATTAAACTGACAAGCTTCTGTAAAGCCAAAGAAACCATCAAGAGAGCAGGGAGACAGCCTACAGACTGGGAAAAAGTATTTGCCAACTCCAGGTCTGACAAAGGCTTAACATCTTGGATCTACAAGGAGCTCAAACATGCTGAAAAGAAAAAAAACAAACAACCCCATTATAAAATGGGCAAAAGATATGAATAGACACTTCTCAAAGGAAGACATCCGAGCAGCCAACAGACACATGAAAAAATGTTCAACCTCACTAATCATCAGGGAGATGCAAATCAAAACCACACTGAGATACCACCTAACTCCAGTCAGAATGGCAATTATCAATAACTCAAAAAATAACAGTTGCTGGAGAGGGTGTGGTGAAAAGGGAACACTTCTACACTGTTGGTGGGAGTGCAAACTAGTACAACCTCTGTGGAAAATAGTGTGGCGATTCCTAAAAGCTCTAAATATTGACCTCCCATATGACCCCACAATCCCCCTACTGTGAATATACCCTGAAGAACCCAAATCACTCTATAAAAAAGATACCTGCTCACGTACGTTTACCGCAGCACTGTTCACAATAGCAAAAACCTGGAAGCAACCATGTTGTCCATCAAAAGAGGACTGGATTTAAAAAATGTGGTACATATACATGATGGAATACTACGCAGCCATAAAAAAGAACAAAATCATGAATTTTGCAGCAACCTGGATCGAACTAGAGTCTATAATACTGAGTGACCTCTCACAGAAACAAAGATCTGAGTATCACATGTTCTCACTCATATAATGGACCTTGAACATCCAATGTAATACTATAAGAAAATGACTGACAGTGGTGGGAAACTATGGGCGAGAGAGGGGAAGGGAGATGGGATTAATGGTAGTAAATATCTGTCTGGGGATGGGGAGACACCTCTTATCAACAAGGGTGCCTGAATGAAGCACATTTGTATACCTAACCCTTAACTGTACCCCACAATAATATAATAAAAAATATTGATTAAAAAAAAAAGATATTTTCAAGTCTCCCTTATAGTGAGGTATAATCATGTCACTAAGTTGTGGTTAATATATTGCAGATAAAGGTTGAATGGATTTAGGGAATATCTTCTAAGTGAACTGATTCAGTTAGCAGAGGTACCCTTCTTTCCTTCTCCACCCTCTTTCTTGGAATGCAGATAAGGCTATGAGAACCTTGAATGAAGAAGCTACAAGGAAGGACACTGCATTGGTTCCTAAAGATACTGTGGTTGACAGCATGTCAATCCTACACTAGGGTCTTTTACTAGCAGTTGAATAAAACCTCTAACTGATGTAGTTACTGATAAACTACATGAATGGACCCAAGTGGACATGAAAGCCAAATCAGTAATAATGGATTTTGCTGGGTTTTGCTATCTTAAATCTGAAAGACTTGGCATTATAGATTTAGGGAGACCATTTGGATCAAGAGTGGCTTTATGAAGGGGAATAAGTATAGCATGGGCAAGAAACTGAATTCAGAAATTAACGATGCTGGTGAGTGCATAAGCAGAGGTTCAGTGTGTCTATGAAGTGATCAAATTTAAAGTATATATCAATTAACTACTGTATCAAGTGTTGCTGATCTGAGTTCATGTTACAAAAAGGAAATATAAACATAAGGGATTAAATGGTGTTATCAACTAGAGCTGAAATATGGTAACGTTGCTCAAGTATTGGGGTAAAAAGTGAATTAACATTTTTTTCTGGATTTTTGTAAGGAAGTACCTTTCCACATGCGTATTGCAATTCCTCTAGCTATATCCAATAAAATAACTCTGCCGAAATCATCTGTTACTGCTGCCAGTGTGTTACATGGAGACAGACATATGCTTTCACCATGGCGTCTAGAATCTGGGAGTCCAAATCTGATATTTAAAAGAAAATGAAAAGCTCAAATCACATTCCAATCTAGAAACATATAACAGAATAATGAAATGCATAAACAAAATAGGTTATCTATTTTTACATAAAGAAAAATAAACTTTGCCTGGAGTAACAGCTAATTTATTAATTAATCACACCTGACATTTGCAATATGCAATACATAAAATAAATTTTAAAAATCAAAGTACAAAGTAGATTTTCTATAGATATTCATAACCCTATATTTTTAGAGGATATCAAGTATAATTTTATCCTTCCTTGATTAAAAGACATGAAAAAAACAATAGAAAACAATACCCTTACAACCAACTAAATTTTAGAATACTTTGTTCCCATACAGGAATCTTTTGTCTATTTTAAGCTCTTGTTCCTAATTCTGCTCTCATTTTTCGCTATATATCCTATCCTGCTGACACCAATGAATCTGCCTGAAGCAGGAACTTTCATTTTTCTAAAGAGTTATCTCTAAACTGTTATTGCTCTGTAATCAACCTTATTAGAATTGTAACATAAAAGCGAAAAGGTACTGAAAAAGGACCAGGAGAGCTCACTTTGAGAAAAGTACCTAAGACAATGTGCACAAACTCTGTTACATCTCTTTGATATACACAGGGCCATTTGGCTAATTTCTTGATTCTAGGGTGAATTTAGGAAATGCGATATGTTACAATATATTTTAAAATAAGATTAAAAAATCTTAGAAGGTACACCTCAATAAATTTTCATAACAATTGGCTCTTTAGGTGAAGAATATCTAAAAACAGAGGAAGTGGGTTTCCTTTCAAGGTGGTATTTTATATTAATAAAAAAACAAGCATTAAAATAAATGCTTCTATCAACAATAATAACAAAACCAAGCAAAAAATCATGCTTCCTCCTTAAAAACGCTCTTAAATACACTAACACATTTTAAAGCACTACTGAAGTGAACAAGGAAGCACAAGCCAGTATTCTGAAGAGTAATTTAATACACAATTCCTGTTTTTATTTTTTAAAGAAATCTCTTCATATCTTTAAGTTTACACAGCTTAGTAACAAACTATCTAAGCTTGCTATCACTAAATTAATTATCCTACAATGCAAGCTAAGTGTATGTGCTAAGAGCACACTCAAATACATCTTGGACACCTATCATAAGATAGGATGACAGCTGTGAACTAAAGAGGCAAGAAATCACTTTTCCCATAGAGCTGTAAATTCTACTCGGGAAAAAATGCCCCACACTAAGGACTTTCAGAAGTGCCAAAGGCTTATGTAATCAGCAAATCAACTAAGACCACTGAAAGACCATAAATTTAACAGTATCCTTCTAAAAGGACTAAGATTTGAGAAGCATGACACACTTGCCTTACAGCTAATGGAGTAGCTGGTTCAACCTTTGGCTTTTGCTTTTGAATGGCTTCTTCTTCATGCTTACTTTTCCAACCAAGCCAACCACTAAAAAAAGAGAAAATTTAGAATAAAATTGAGCTTCCAGGGTTTAAAATGTAAGTTAAAACTAAGCTAGTTATAAATTAGATATTTTTATTTAATTGTTATAAAATTACCTGGCAGCATTAAATAAAGCAGAAGTGAGTTTACTTGCAACTGCTAGTGCAACATGAGATAATAATGGTTGTGTGCTTCCCTGAAACACAGAACATTTGAAAAGAAAACTTAGCAGCTTATAAAGAAACAAAAATACTTTCTAAATAAGACTTACTTTAAAATATTTTTGAAAAGTTGTAAAGCCTGGAGTAGCAACTAAGCTTCTTTCACCGAGTAAAGTAAGAACTTTATTTTAGGAGCAATATAATAAGTTTTAACTCTATAGTTTAAAAATGAAATCACTATTAGTCTATTTTGCCATCAGGATTTCCCTCTTTAAATTGTGATTTAATTAACAAAAATTTTAAACTAGGATATTAAAATGACATTATTCTAGTTGGGCTACAGTTTTCCCATCTACACACAACTGGCTCCTTTTCCTCTTTTAAAAATTATATATACACACACACATTTTTATAAAAGTAGAAAGATAGGATAATTCCAAGAAGGCTGCTTTTAAAGTGAGAAACAAGAGCTGCCAAATCTAACACCTAACTGTTCCCTATTTTAGGAAGTAATTTTCACCACTTACATCAACCATAGCTGGCAGCTTGCTCTGTCTTTTCCCATTTATTCAACTCCCCTGGTGGGCTGACATAATTAACAGCCCTAAGCTTCTGACTAGTTCACCAGTATTTAAAAACAACTCAGCAGTCAAAGAACTCAAGGTCTCCAGAAACAAAGAAGTTTGTTTGTTTTACATTATCTTTGGTACCTTTTCAGTTAATCTAAATAATTTAGAAGAAAGATAACTGAGATTAATTTTACCCTCAATTGAAAGTTAAAATGTAAACTACTTAATTTTTCTGAGGCTATCCAACTTATAGACAAATTGAAAAATCAACAGTGGCTTTACTCATGATCAGTGAGAAAAATCATACCTCTAAAGCATAGAAGAAGCCAGTAAATGGATTGGACCCTACAGTAATATACTGAGACATAGCAGGTGGACTATTTTTAATTGTCGCATTAAATCCACCTATATTGGAGGCAGTCTTCATTTGATCAAAAGGGGAGAGAGTCATAATACCTAAAAATAAAAACACACACACACAAAAACACATGATTTAAATGCACACTGTCATTTTAGGTTATTAAACTTTTACTTCAGTTCCATTCTAAGATGCTAAATGCTTAGTTTTATTTAACAAACAAAAGTAATTTTTAAAAGCTACAAAATCAACATTAAAAATATTCAAAAATATTAAAATTGCCATCTATAATTTCTCCAACTTATAAAATACTACAAAACCAAAATTTAAATATTAATTATTTTAACAGATACAAAACTAGAAGGTACAAGAAGTATATAGTCTACCTATATCCCCAGGTTCCAATTCCCTTCTTGGAGGCAACTGATACAATTCTTATGCTAACATCTAGAGGTGTATACACACAAATGACAGCACACCAAATAAACTGATGTGTGCCCTGCCTTTTTTAAAAAATAAATATCAAGAGGGCATGCCTCATTCTTCCCAGTCATTCAATATTCCATTCGTGGACATATGAGATTAGACCTATGATAGACATTTATGTTGTTTCTCCTTTTTTAGCATTACAAAGAATGCCTCAATATACATCCTTAATGAAGTTGAACACCCATACAAGTCTCCCTGTACAGTAAATTCTTTTTTTCCCCCGGAAAACCACATTTATTAGTTTATACAGGTGGCATAGAGGGAGCCAGAGTACAGTAAATTCTTACAAGCAGAAGTGCTGTTTCAAAGGGGATATGCATGTTTAAGTACTGCTACATTGTATTGCAGAGAAGTGGTACTAACCACTCTTATAGAAAAGGTGAGAGAACACCTGTGCTCCACACCCTTCCCAACACAATGAAAACACACTTTCAAACATCTACTTTGTAGTCCAGAAACTCCGAGTGATTTATAATGCTGAGTTATTTTTCATTTCCCTAAGGTCCTAAGAACAAAAGTAGATAGCCTGATTGCTGACATCCACATACCTACTAGTGAAATAGTAGAGGAAACCCCTGTGTCATTTAAATTCACCTAACTGGCAAAGAGAAAGACAGGGGAAAGTGATCTTAAAGTTGTAGGATGTAAAAATCTGCTGCTAGATTCCAACATATGTGGACTCAGGTAGTATCTTCAAGCTTGGGTACTCATATAATACATGAAAACACCCAATGGGAGAACTTGAACTCACATATACCACAGAATAAAACAAGAGTTATTGTTACAGTTTCTATTGTTCCATATTTTTTGTACATAGACATTGCCTCTCCTTTGCCAGAAAACTGTCAAAAAATGCATTGTTCCTAAAGAAGAGTCCTGGGAAAGGAAATCTTTATAGTGTCATAAGCAAACTATTTACCAGATTTAGTGATTAAAGTCATCAAATAAATCCTTGTATAAATTGAGCTATTCTAAAAGACCAGAACACCTGTTTCATATTCATGAGTGAATTCACAATTCAGTATATAAAATGTACAAAATTTTACATGACAAAATTTGCATAAGATTTCCCTGAATCTAACAGAACAAGATCAAAGGGTAAATTGTAAGGCACATAAATTGAAAGTTGAGTTTTAAAATAGTTTCTCTTCATACTCCCATGCAATATAGCTGGAAGTACAAACTGCTACAAGATATCCAGAGGACAATTTGGCAATATATATCAAAAATTTTAAAGGAATTGGTTCTAATTTATTCTAAGGAAATAGCTGATTGGTTCAGAAAATCTTTACCACAAATGTTCTTTTCTTTCTCACAACGTAAGTCAACACTTTCAACGCCATATCTTGGATCCCGTCATCAACTGTACATTCTTTGTAATCTTGATTTCAACATACCACTTGTTGACTACCTCTTATCTTTTCATTTCAATTTTTCTAGTAAACGCCTCAATAATTCCATAATTTCATCAAGACTTCCAAAGCATTAATCCTACTATTTTTTCCATTACTTATCAAGCACCTCTACAGATCACTTCCCATTCTTACCCAGTTTAGATTTGTTTTCCATCATAATCACTCTCTTGCAAATACCTACAATTCCCCTATACACATCTCCCTTCACATACTCCCCTGGCTAATCTTAACCTTTTTTGACTTGAACTATTTGCATCCTCTGCTCTTGAAGCAAAATAGCTGATCATTGCCAAGAAAAATAATACATTTGGGTTTCAAAGTAAGGAACACAAACATATGGGCACATATAGATCAGCTCAAAATCCTATTATCCTCCTCAACCCCTCTGTTACCCTGCCCTCAATTCTTTGAAATCTGTTTGTAGAAGAATGTTTGACACTAATTTCTTTTTGTTGTTGTTGTTGAGTTGGAGTCTCACTCTGTCGCCCAGACTGGAGTGCAGTGGCTGCTCCCAGCCACTGCAGCCTCGACCTGCTGGGCTCTGATGATCCTTCCGCCTCAGCCTTCCAAGTAGCCGGAATTACAGGCATGCGCTACCACGCCTGGCTGATTTTTTTTTTTTTTTTTTGTAGAGATGAGGTCTCGCTGCCCAGGCGGGTCTTGAACCCACAGGCTCAGGCAATCCACTCACCTCAGCCTCCCAAAGGTGCGGGATTACAGGCTGAGCCACCGAGCCTGGCTGACACTAATTTTTTACAGTCTAGATATTGCTGACCCCACCCCTGTAGTATTATCTAACATGTTGTTTTGTCCTCTATTGCTATACATTGGTAGATGAATCTAAGGGACTACTGTCTTTTGAGTTACCAATTTTAGCATTATTTTTCATTGATTTATGGTGATATCGTTTATTTGCAATCCCTCTTCCTCTCCCAATATCCTTCCAAAATACCTATATCTCAATTTTCAATTAAATTAGCATCCATTGTTTTCATTATTAGTAATGATGTAAATATCTCTTATTGCTGAGAGAAGCCACCTACTATAATTATATTTCCTTAGCTGTGAGGTTTTTTTCCTGGAATTATTATTACCTTGTCATTTAGAGCTTTCCCTAAACATCTGAGGCATTTCCACACTTGGAAACACATTAAGGTTTCTCTTAATATAAATTTCCATAAAGTCAAACTCTTTAAATAATGTTCTAGGTCTACTATAGTGGCTAAAGAAGCCTCTTTTGACAAAGTGCTCTATCAATAGAGACCCAGTGAAATGAAAGAGAAGGCCATGTGACAAGCTGGGCAAAGAGTTCAGGCACAGGGAGCAATCATTATAAATGTTACAGAGTGGGAATATGCATGGTATGTCTGAGGAACAAAAAGAGATCAGCATGATGGAACACAGTGAGAAGAGGAATACTGCAGGAGACAGGGTCAGAGAGGCATCATAAGTCAGACAAGGTCAGGCCTTGTATGCTACTGGAAGGAGCAACCAGAAGAGAGATAATATGGAAGAAATGGAAGAAAAAAGGAGGAGCAAGTTTGATGGGAGGAAAATAAGAACTGAATTTTGGATATGATAAGTCTGGATATCCAAGTAGAAATGTTCTGGAAGGAGCTAGAAAAATGAGTATAAAGCTTAAGGAAGAGGGAAGAACTGGAGATAAAAATGAAGATGTTGTGATTCTATTTGTTTGTGATTTTGCAGCATAGGGAGTGGAAATGTTTACTCTTAAACCCACCCCAATCTGGCTTTTACCCTCACCATCCCACCTTAACTGTTCATATTTAAAGTCAATAAAGAGCTCTATGTTGTCAGATCCAGTGGACCTCATTCCTTTCTTGAATTCTATGAAGCATTCCACAGTTAACCACTCCCTTTCAAATTTATATCTACAATCCCAACTTCCTTCCTGAACTTCAGACTTGCATATCCAATTTGTCCACTTGATATCTCTATTTGAATGCATAATTGTATCAGAAGTTATTCTGTAAAAACACAAGTCTTTATTTGTTCACCTTAAACCCTTCTCTTTCTCTTTATTCTCATTTCCGTAAACTGTCTGATCATCCACCCAGTTGCTCAAACTTAAAACTTAAGAAATGCGTGATTCTTTCCTTTCCCTTGTTTCTCAAACCCATCCCTTAGCAAGTTCAAAATATATCTCAAATATGTCTACCTGTCTCCAACTCTACTGCCTCTACCCTAGATTAAGCCATCACTCTTTTGTCTCAAGCTTTCTACAAGTCTCTCTAAACAGCAGCCAAAAGGATATTTTGAAATGTAAAGCCCTACTTAGAATCCATCAATGACATCCACTGCATTTAGAATAAAATCCAGTCTCTTTGTTTTTGGTTTTCATCCTCATCTTTGTTTTCAACCTAACCCTATCCTGTTTTCCTTTCATTCTCTACAGGTAAGTCACAACAACCTCAGTTCTGTTTCTTGAACACTCATGAGGTCTTCATGGCCGGCAGTCTATATTCTTGCCACATCCTCTACCTAGTATGCTCTTCCTACAGCTCTTCCCATAGCTAGCTCCTCATCTCTCAAGTCTCAGTCTAAATGTCAATTCTTCAGAAAGGTCTTTCCTCACCGGTCTATCCAATGTATTCTCTTCTTTATTCTCTATAATAACCTGCTTATTTTCTTCATGAGACCTACTAACATTTTGATATTATCATATTTACTCAGTTTGTTTATTGTTAGTCTCTTTATCATGAGAATGCAAGCTTCATCAGGGTGTGTCTTGTATTTCTAGCACCAATACTGGTCCCAGGGACATAAAAAATATTCATTTGTTTGTTGAACAAATTAATCAGATGTTTACATAAAGACATACATACAATAAAGTTTACTGCACCTTTTGTGTTTTACATTTTGTAGGCTGGGGATAAATGAATAGAATAAAATTTTCTATCCAGTCATTTTCCCTAGCCAGTTTCAATGTTCCAAAGTTTAATTAACAGAACAGGGAAGCTACCCTGAGCTGAACTCAACCCTTTGGAATTTTGCAGCATTTTTATGTTAACAAAAGTAAAGACATTCTAAAATGTTTACCAACAGGTTTTGATTACAGAGTATTCCATACAAGAGCTATGCAGTAAGTTGAAAAAGATGACCTGTGTGCCAGATATCTTCTGTTAGTCCCTCTAGATTCACATTCCTTTCTTGTCTCCCTGCTCTCTTTCTCCCAGGGGCCAGTCTATATGGAACTTGCTGACTTTGAGTTGGGTTCACACAATGGGATTGCTGGAATGCCTCCTCTGTGCTTGTTCCCTTGGTCAAGTTCTACTCATTCTTTCAATCTCAGATTAAAGTCAACCTCCAGTTTTCTGATGCCCTCAATGCTAAGGGCTTTCTCCTCTGCTCCCACTACAGTGGATCTACTTATCTGCTACCCCAACCATTATGTTTTAGTACTGTAGCTATTCTCATATGATTGTAGTCCAACTAGACATTTACTTCCAGATTAAAGAGACCATGTCTTCTCATCTCTGTATCCTTGATACCTGACACAGTAAATACTGATTGAAAGAAGAAATCTGCTTTTATCTATAACCTGCTGGTTTAACATTTACATTTTTAAAAGGATGATTTATATGGTCAATATATGGACCAAAACTGCCTGCAGAAAAATTAAGTCAAATAGGGAGTGACTTAAACTGTACAATACTGCTACTGAGGGCATAATTAAATCTTTATTAAAACTGCTACCATTTCTTGTGTGTGTGAGAAAGCAGGATTTATTGAGAGGACAGAAAAGCTCCCACAGTGGGAGGGGACCCGAAGAGGTTGTCCGTGCTACCATTTCTTAAAGACATAAGCCTATAATGCTCTGAGTCTAAACTAATTTCCAAATATCTCACTAAAGGTAATTCATTTTGTCACATACAAATAAATGTCTATTTCTAATAGAAAAATACTTCAATAAAAAAGTATAAGAAGTAAACTGCAATAGAATTTGAACTAGTAATGCTTACCAACACTAGCGTGATCAATAATAGTGTCAATATCTTGTAGACCCCATTTCTTATAAGCCAATGGTGGTGGTTGTATGTTCTCATTGCCTGAAGCTGCAGCTGTCAAAAATAAATATTAGACAATTCAAACTGAATTATAATGAATTAAATGTTTTTTAAAGCATTAAATATAATTTATTATTATAAAATTTCAACTAATAATGAAGCAAAGTAATGAAAACAAGGCATAAAGTGAGATTTATTCATACCAAGACAAATAAAATGTAAACATTTAAAAGACTAAGTTGGTTGTCACAAGAGATCTTAGAATACTCAATTAATTAGAGAAGAATATTAAAAATCCTAGAATACTACCAAAAATCAAGGTGAATTCAAACTGCAATTGATGCCAAGTAAGCAATTTCTCCCTCTTGAGAAAGTATGTAAAATCCTATCTATATCAACATGTGCACTCCAGTCTGGGCAACAGATTGAGACTCCAACTCAAAAAAAATAAAAAAAAGAAAGAAAGAAATAGTGCATCTTACAATCCATGGCATCTTGAATTTGATGAGACACCTTTTCAAAAAACACAACAGCATCAGAATCTAAACTATGGGAAGTAAAAATAAGAATTCTTGATTATTTGTGCAATTTTCATCCCAAAGTCTGAAAATAATGCTTTTGCCCATATACACATTAAGTATAGGCCTCTAGCTTTTCTCCATCCTCAAGTGTTCAAAGCTGGCAAAAAGAATCTGATGTTGACTCCCTGCTGGATTCTGCCTACTGTGGGAAAATACCCTGTATGCAGGGGCATCTTTAGGCTCAGCAAGGACAGAAGCAACAGAGTCACAAGATTTTAGTATACTGGCCCTACAGCTGCAGGTCTAGTGAGAAATTTGGTACTTCACCTAGATGCAGCTGAATTCCTCATCCCAATGTTGACTGCCAATACTGCTGCAACTCTTAACTAGCCAGGGTATATTGTTGAAGTAGTGAAGAAAGTCTATTATTCCTGTGCTGGCCACACTTTCCACTGGCAACATGTTAGAGTACTAATATTTCTGCCCTTATCTCTACCTTATTATGCCAACACGTTCTCTCATCTCTATAGCAGCAGGGTTTTTCTCTTAAATCTAGTTCAGAAAGTCTTTTAAACTTAGAAGACATACTTAATTCTGTACACAGGTCACATTACATAAAATAAACATCATCAGAAGTTAAACATTTCTTGCCAAAATATTACCTTTTGCTACCTGATTTCGACAAGCACGAAGAGACTGAAAAAGACTAAATCCATCAATAGTCACAATGGCAGCTGGATATAAGATACTCAATTCTTCATTCTATTTAAGAAATAAGAAAAATAATGATAAACGTTCTGAAATAGATATGCCCTTATTTGGCTTATTTTATTAAACCTGAATTTTGCTTATTTTATTATACCTGAATTTCATGAATAATGTGAAAAATACTGTGACTAAATTGTCAACCACTCAACACACAAAAGCACTATCAGACAGAAGAATGACAAAAATAAATAGAAAATTAATTTCAGAATGGCTTTTGGCCAAAGACTTAAAATTCTTCTCAAATATAGCCTTTTGTATGTGTTGAACAGTGGTCTCAGTGAGATGATAGATGGTGAGAGTAACAAAAAATTGTAATTCCTAAAAATTAAACAGTCATTTCACAAATACAATATGTAAGACTAAAAACAAAAACTCACTTAAAATCCCACATCTTTTAATGCACATTCTCAAATATGTTCATATGCATTTGCATGAGACTATACCACAGTGTTCTATAACATGGTTTTATACTCAGTATGTCAATGATATTTTTCCATTTCAATAAGTAAATCATTTTTATCATGGCTGTACAGTATTTCATTATATATACCCACATTTACTTAACTAGCTCTTACTAATGGACATTTAATTTGGCCTCCTGCTTCCACTCTTGTTCTCCACAATCCATTCTCCACACACAGCAGTGTGATCTTTGTGAGGCATGGTAAATCAAACCATTTTCCTGGTTAAAATTCTCCAATGGCTTTCTTCTGCATTTACAAATACAACCTAAACTCTTTAACCATGGCTGCAAGATCTGGCATATATGTCTAATGTCACCACATAACAGTCCTTTGCATGTACTTTGACATTCTTCTCCCAAATCTTCACCTGCCTAATTCTTCTGATCATTCAGGTCTCAGCTCAGATATCAGTTATTCAGAAGCTGCGCCTGGGTCACCATCTCAAACAACACCTCCATTCTCTTGCTACATTACTATCTCATGAACATGACTGACTTCCTTCATAGCACCCATCTGAAACTGGAATTACCCTGATATCTCTAGTTGTTTACTCTTGGTTTACTCTTGGTTTCTACCATCCCCAAACTATAAGCTCCATGAAAGTAGGGATCTTATGTATCTGGTATACCAACAAATCCTCGGTAATTAGAACTGGCTCATGCACATAATAAACAGTAAACACATATTTATGAGTGAATTAATATGTTTTTATTATTTTAAACATCACTGCAATAAATATCTTTTATATTAGTGGGATATTACTTTAGTATAAATCCTTTTAAATAGATCTGTGGATCACAGAATTTCACAATTTTCTTTTTTATACATATTATTAAACTGCCTCAAAAAGTATCAATTTACACTTCTACCAACAATACATGAGAATGTCTGTTTCTCAATATGGTAATCAACAGTTTTGTTTTTTTGTTTTTGTGATTTTTAAAAAAGTCTAGGGTTGTCACTCTTTTCCTTAGAAGGAGCTATTTTACTTTACATTATTATTATTTTTTTTTTGTCAGGGTCTCCTCTGATGCCCAGGCTGGAGTGCAATGGCACATTTGTGACTCACTGTAGTCTCAACCTCCTGGCCTCAGGTGATCCTTCCTCCTCAGTCCCCAGAGCAGCTGAGGCTATGGAGAATGCCATTACACCCAGCTAATTTTTTCTTTTTTTCTTTTTTGTAGAGGTGAACTCTTTCTATGTTGCTTAGGCTGGTCTTGAACTCCTGGGCTCCAGCAACGGCCTTAACCTCCCAAAGTGCTGGGATTACAGGCATGAGCCACTGAGCCCGACCAACAATTTTGTTAATCTTCATTTTTGCTCATTTGAAAGGTGAAAATTTATTTCACTGTTTTCTCATTGTTCTTAGATTATTATTAAGTTTCAAAATTTTCTCATGTGCTTTCTAGCCAATTATATTTCTTCTATAGAGATCTGCCTTGCTCCTTTTTCTACTACATTATCAGGCTGTTTCTATTTTTAAAAGATTTTTGGGCCATGAGTCAGACAGCAAAGAAGCTGGCATGCATGTTCACATGACAGGTTCACAAGGCAGCATGTACAGTCCACTGAGCATGGTAGTGGGGAGACAGCCTCCTCATAGACTTTGAGACACTGGAAGACAGAAAGGACCTAATCACCAGCAAGTCAATGATCTCCAAAACCAGATAATCTTCCTAAAGAAAACACACAAACAAACACCAATGGCTCAAAATCTGTAGAAATTGTGCTAAATGACAGATATCTTTTTACAGGAACCACAGAAGTTTTTTTGACATTCCAGAAAGATACTTTCTCTTTTCTTTGAAATCTTTTCCTGCAATGACCCACTGTCAACTCTACTACACTCACTGCTCCAAGAACTGAATTGGAGGTAATCTGCTTCTGTGATCTTTGATCTGGCAGTACATTAAAAACTAGCTATATCAACCTCCCATATGACCCCGCAATCCCCCTACTGGGAATATATCCTGAAGAACACAAATCACTCTATAAAAAAGATACCTGCACACGCATGTTTATCGCAGCATTGTTCACAATAGCAAGAACCTGGAAACAGCCATGCTGCCCGTCAAAAGAGGACTGGATTTAAAAAATGTGGTACCTATACACGATGGAATACTACTCAGCCATAAAAAAGAACAAAATCATGAATTTCACAGCAACCTGGATGGAACTAGAGTCTATAATACTGAGTGACCTCTCACAGAAACAAAGATCCGAGTATCACATGTTCTCACTCATATAATGGACCTTAAACATCCAATGCAATACTATACGAAAATGACTGACCGTACTGGGAAACTATGGTGGGGGGAGGGAGATGGGATTAACAGTAGCAAATATCTGTCTGGGAACGGGGAAACACCCCATATCAACAGGGTGCCTGAATGAAACGCAATTGTATACCTAACCCTTAACTGTACCCCACAACTTCACAGTAAAACAAAAAACAAAAAAACAAAAAACAAAAAACATTGTTCTTCTGCCATGATCAATAGGAGAATAAATCTATCATATATTAATTACATTAAGGTTTTCTTACTAATCAGAAATAGCCTTTTATTATAGTTTTGCTATATAAATACTAACAAGAAAATAATGAGATACATGAAAAATTTGAAAAAATAAAAAAATAAAAACTAGCTATATATATCTATACGCACACACACACACACACATATGTATATATGTATTATTATGTACATATATGTATATATGTATTATTTTTGAGTCGGGGGGGGTCCTCACTTTGTTGCCCAGACTGGAGTGCAGCGTCACAATCATGGCTCACCACAGCCTCCACCTACTGGGCTCAAGCGATTCTTCTGCCTCCCAAGTAGCTAGGACAACAGGTGTGTGCTACCACACCAGGCTAATTTTTACTTTTATTTTGTGGAGACAAGGTTTCGCTATGTTGCCTAGGCTGTTCTTGAATTTCTGGGCTCAAGAAATCCTCCTGCTCAGCCTCCCAAAGTGCTGGTATAAGCATTTGTTATAGGTATAAGCCACTATGCCCAGTCTGAAGAAATTTTTTACACAAATGCTGATGTGTCAGATCCAAAGATGCTTAGGTACCATACAGAATAACAACACAAACTTCCATTTCCATGTTTAATAAAAATTATTTCTCAGCTAAAAGATTATTTTCTTGGCTTGTAAAGCAAATAACAAGCAAATACTTAAACATTATATTTTTCCACCAGCTCTATAAAAAGAGTACCATAGACATGACCAACTTCAAAGTGTTCAAAGAAACTTCATCATCCAGTGAATTTGTAGAAAAGTAGAAAAAAGTATGAGGGGTATCTTCAATTCACAGATTATCTTCTTAGATTTCCAACTTCTCCTTCTTTGTTTCCTTCAATAGTTCCATTTTCTCCTATCTCCTTATGATGAATATTATCAGCAACTAAGACTTAAGTCTCCAGCCCGTAGTTTTATTTTCCTATACCTCTTACTTGGAAGAATTTATTCACTATCTGTGACTTCAACCATCATCTCATCTAGTTTCTGTGCCTAGACAGTAATTTTACATCATTACATGATACTGGTATCTTCATTTTATTTTTCACCATCACTTCAAATTCAACATGCCCAAAAACAAGTAAATAATAATCTTTATTTACTGCCAAAGCAGTCCAACTTTGCCGATGTCACTTCCAGGATAAATATCTTAGAGCCATCCTTAGTTCATCTCTTTTTTAAACATTCTACATCTCTACACAAAAACCAAGTCATAAATTGCTCCTTCAAAGTAATTTTTGTACTGGCCCTTTTCTCTTCCCATAGATATTCTAGTTCTGGTCCCCAGCATTCCACATCTATTGCAGATAATGTAAAAAAATAGATAACTAGTCTCCCTGATTCTAGTTTATACTGAAGAAAGAGATCTTTAATGTCCCTTTGATTTCATCACTTTCTTCTCACAAGAGCTTTAGGAACTTCTCTCATCTCCTGAATTGATTTTAATTTTTACTTGGCTTTTGAATTTGTGCAAAATTTGGCCACTTTGCCTATTCAACAGCTTCTCATTATTTTATAACATAGGTTTCTCTGTTGTTGCATACACAGTCCTACATTTGAATCTTCTCTCATTTTTCTTCCGATTATCTGAAACATTTCCCTCTTTGTTCCCATTATCTAATTAAATTCTACACCCATAATTCAAGGCTTAATGCAAATCTTACCTTCCTTGATATAATTTTCTCTTATTATCTAAATATCAACCTTCCATACAACCCAACAATCCTCCTTCTGGGAATATACCCAGAGGAACTCAAAACCTTCTACAAAAAAGATACCTGAGCATGCATGTTTATTGCAGCACTATTCACAACAGCAAAAACATGGACCCAACCATGCTGCCCATCAAAAGTGGAGTGGATAAAAAAATGTGGTACATATTTATGATGGAATATTATGCAACCATAAAGAAGGACAAAATTGTGTACTTCACAGCAATTTGGATGGAATTAGAGTCTATCATACTCAGGGATCTATCATAGAAACAAAGAACTGAGTACAATATGTTCTCACTCATAAGTGGACCCTGAACATTTAACATAACACTACATGAAAGAGTTTGGCAGTAGTGGATCACTGTGAGGAGAGAAGGAGGGCACATAACATTAATAAGCGTAACTGAGGTCCAATGGAAGGCCCAAACTTCACCTGTACAATGACTACTTACATACCTAACCCTGAATTGTACCCCATTCCTTAAACATAAATAAATAAATAAAAATGTTCTTATTGTTGTAGTCCTTTTGATCTCTCCCTTCTGTAAACTTGTATAGAGTGTATTCTGGACAAATAAATTAGGTACTGCTTTATATCACTGATCAACTCATTCATTTAGTACTAGTCTCTCTTATAAGATTATTAATTTCTTCCATACTCCAAATCCATCTATCATGCAACTTAAGTCCACATACACACACAATATGTACATCTGTTTAAAGTCTTTTGGAGGCCAAGCTGTACAAAAAAGAAAGGCATCTTTTATAGTTTTGACTATGCACACTGAAAAACAAATAAAAGCATATTGGTTTAAACAGTTTTACGATTATTTTTTTGACTGTGAGATAACCAAAATCTTATAAGGCACCTAAGAAGTCAGACCCATAGGTAATACACAATATTATTTTCTCAGTTAAAATCTTCAATGAATATAAAATAATACTCATTATAAACAAAAACTTAATAACACTTTTTCTAAGAAATAGTTAAGTACTATTTATAATAAGCCCCAAACTTTTTCTTTTAGTATGGGTAATTTTGACACCTAAATCCAAATACAAAAGACATAACGCTATATAATACCACATTGTTCCTTTAAGACACTACTAAATTCTTTAAAAAAGAAACTTTTTTGGCTTCTAGTTAAAGTGTTTATTTTACTGTAGAATGAAACATACAATATTTCATTAAATAAGTAAAAGCAAGACTGGTATTTGTTACTCAGCTACAAATAGATTATATTTCTAGAATGACAGCAGAGTCAACTGTGCCACAAGACAAAGATATCTTTTAAGTTTCCATCCAATAAAGAGGGGAGACAATGCTTCAAAGTAACACCACTGTTACTGATTTAACACAGTATTTTACACTACCTGCTCAGTCACACCAGGATGTCGTGGGATTTCATAGGTCCTGCATTTAAGCTGAAGCACTGGATCCTCATTCAAAAGCTGTGCAAGCAAGAGCACACCACTCTAGGAGAAAGTACAGAGAAGAGTCCTACTTGTTTTTTAAAACCCACATGCCTGAAAAGGTATGACCACGTAGTGGGTACCATTTCCCTAACAGTTTTTCATAGATACCAGGTAATCCCTTTTCAGAAAGCAGCTTTTCTTCTCTTTATCTTCCACCAGAATTTTCCATAGCCTGTCCTAGCCTCCACCCCTATAAAACTACACATTTCCAAGCAGCTGGTAATGAAGTCACAAACTAGTATAATGAGGATGCATAACTAGGTATTGTCATCAACTTAATAGTATCTTATAACTATTGAATTTCAACTCACTTCAGTGTAGAAGCGTACATAACCTGAAGTAAAGCCCACCACAATGCAGGTCCAGTCAGGACGTCCAGTGGAACTCCTGTTACCAAAAAAAATAAAATAAAATTATTATCTTAATAGCTCATAAATCAAAGCAAAGAAAACAGATAACACTTATCTTACCTCTTTTGGCTTGCTAGTGGAATACATAGAGCACTGGTCACACATTCTCTGGAAAAAAAAATCATAAGCTTATTTACTGAACTTATCAATTAATTTTGTTTCTCTATAATTTGATATTAAGGATTAGTAAGTGGAAGATTACTTCTGTGAATCAGCTTTATTCAATGCATAGGTAAAAATACAGTAAAACTCCAATATAAGTAGGGTCCATAAAAGTTATTCATATGAAATTTAATGTCATATGCAAATGAGGTTAATAAAAAATAGGACTTTTCACTCTAATACTACCAGGAAAGCATGAAAGTAAAGGAAACAAAACTTTACTTACACAACCAATTGTATATAGAACTGAGAAAATCCCAAATGATCACGTCATTCCCTACTATCCCTCTCCCTTCTGCCTCAGCTAAGAACTTGAGCCTGTGCAGAGGGTCGAGGGACTGCCAGTCACATTACATGCAAACTGCATTTCTGCTGGGTATATTATTTTAGGGACTTCCTGTATTTCAACTTGTAGGCTTCCTTTTCTACATTTTGCAGAAATTGCCCTGATAACCTATTTCTAAGTATATGTTAGGTTTGATGTTCACTAAAATAAATTTTTTTTCTGGTTCCCTGAAAGAATTTTTTTTTTCTGACAAACTTGAAATATTTATCAGAAGCTCAGAGACAATGCCTCAAAATCAAAACAACTCCTAGACTGACTTTTGTTTATGCTATAAAACTTGAGGCTCATTACTAGCTTATTCAAGAAACAATAAACACTCCTGCACCATACACCATACTAGGTAATCATTGAACAAAATTATTCTTTGTGTTTGTTGTTTTTAAAGTTAAATGTTTGCTCTGTATTTCTGACAGAAATCAAAGTTCTTTATAGTGCTTAAACTAAATGATCTAAGGAGAAATATTATCATTTATTTTTAAATAGCAGAAAACATTTCACTGAGTATTGACAATTGTGTCTGGGATGTACTAGGCACTTCCACTTGGTTGTCTTTTATCTGAATTCAAAGTCTGAAGGATCTTATTCATTCTGATCAGCTAGTTTTCAGTCATAAGAATTTAACTGAAAACAGTTTTGGTCTCAAGATTCTAGGCTAGCAGCTCCATCATAGAGATCATGGTTTAAAAGTTTTACAGGTTTTACATTCAAATAGGAATTCAAGTAGGTTTTACATTCAAGTTTCCTACTTGAATGTACCAACTTGCATTTCTGAAGTATTTATGAATTTTAAGAATTAATGTAGCACTGCACCCTTCAAGTACAAGCTCAAAACAAAGCAATGACTGTCCTTAGCTTTTTTCATGAAGAAAATTAGTAATGGAGTACAGAGGGAAAAGACAAAATGTGAAAAGAATTTCATGGGATTCTTTCTGAATTAGTCCTTAGATTTTCTTCAAACAAATTTTTAAAAATCACATGATGCATAAAATTAAAACTTGCTGACTGAATCATTCTCTACAACCTCTAATGACAGGATGCACATACATTTACTAAATATTCCAAATAATGAAGTTTCTTAATAGATTCACTTATAAGTCACACAATTTCATACATATATCTAACACACAAAGAAACAAAAAATTAATGGCACCTACCCTTCTTCAACATTTAAAGAACCACTCCAACCAACAGCAAATTGCATTTCTTCCTTTCCTTTATCACTGTATTTCCATTTTGCTGAAAAATTAAGACATTATATAAAATAACTTCAGTTATACTAAAATAGTAATTTATAAATTTTGGTCTTTCCCTTTAGAATGATGAGTAGAAAATGTACTAGTTATGTACTGACTTGTGTCTTTTTATAAGTAAATATAAGATAATGTTTTTAAAACCTTATAAGATTTGTATAAAACCACCTATTCTCCTGGCCTTTAGTCTTTTCCTTCATCCAGTTGAACTCACATAATGAAGCCAGGCACAGTGTCTCACACCTATAACCCCAGCACTTTGGGAGGCTGAGGCAAAAGGATCACCTGAGCCCAAGAGTTAAAGACCAGCCTGGCCAACAAAGTGAGACCATATCTCTACAAAAAATAGAAAAATTAGACTAGCATGGTAGTGCATGCCTATAGTTCCAACTACTCGGGAGGCTGAGACAGGAGAATTGTTTGAGCCCAGTAGCAGAGAAATACAAAAAAGCAAAGGAAATAAAAAGTGTTATATAATATAATATATAAACTACAGATGCTACCATATAATGTGTACAATAGACATAACATTTTTTCTTTTGACCTAATCCATTTTCTGTCCTATCCTATGCATTAAAATTAAAATAATAAAGGCTACTGAAAATAATAAGATACTTACGCACTAGAAATACAGCTTTTTGCTCCCGAGCTATAACCATAAGATCATTGGTTGGAGACAAGGATAAAACACAATCTTGAAGCCAGAAAGCCTTTTGTGTTTTGCTAGTATTTCCTTCTTCCTGTTGGTAAAATTACAATTACTATGCAAGCAAAAATATCACTTGGGATTTGATTCTACTCTCCTAGTCAATGAAAAGCCTTTTCTTAAAAGAACTACTTTATTACTTCATCACTTTATTCCAGGCTAATCTTTCTAGTTCTTTGAACCAATTTAGAACTATAAGATGACCACTGTATTTGAGTATGAGAGCCAGCATATTCTTGAGACATTTCTTTAAGCACTCCTTTAAAAATACTTTAGCCTCTTCTTTCTTTCTAACTGAAGTTTTAGTTCCTCTCTAGTCCTACTCTGACTTTTTCATTCTTTCCATTTCAAGACTTTTTATTGCAATTAAAAGTCTTACTACTCTTAACTACCTATTTATTCTGTGATGGTATTTTCCCCACACTAGACTAGAAGCTCTCTAGTTGGAAAAGCCTGCTCCTTATATTAGTATTCAACTCCACATGTAGCACAGTCCACTAACAGCATATATGAATAAATAACAGCATTCTCTACCTCTTTATTTGTATTCACAAAGACACTTGGATAACCTACTACCTATTCTTGAACATAAAACTATAAGACAACGAGCAATCAATTAAAAGTTAGGATATTCAATCCTTAGTAATGTTTTATCTTAAGTAATATTAAGTTTAACAGTGCAAGATTCTGGTTGACATATCCATGGAAAGTACAAGTTAGAGAGATCTAAGAAAGGGAAGAATTACCACAGTATTACAGCCTTCTTAGTTGGGCCTAGAATTCAGTGCCAAATTATGATCAAGCTCTGTCTGCCACTTCCCCACCAAATGGACTATAAGCAATCCTAGAAGCAAACATGAATTCTGTTCCATAAGGACTAACCATGATGAAAGTATGGGAAACAGACAGATGTCACTTGACTTGGAAGCAAATTCAAAGAAAATACTCCACAATTATTGATGCTTAGCCATCTCATAAATGTACATTTTCAGTTTACATGAAACCAGAATGTAAAACTTCATGTGGATTAGCACTACAGTTTCATTTATTGATGATAGAGGAATAAAGAGGCAAAAAAACACAAAATCTTCTGCCATTCTTCACTGCATTTTCTTTTCTATGTCCTCTCTACCTCTATATCTTTCCTTGTAACTGAAAGCACATCTTCCTAGTTTGCCACAGTAAAGCTGCATGTGCACAAGTGGGCATTCCATATTTAAAATACAGGTTAGAAAACATTACTAATATTATTATATCATATCATCATTAAGGTTTGATGTCCCATAAAATTCTAGATGTAAAGCTTTGGTCGTGCGTCTCAAGAATGACTTGTCACAAAGTAATGGTGTGCTCTTAATACAAGCTCTTTTGATCCACTGCCACATGGGGGAGCAGCTGTATACCTACTGTAACTACAAGCTCCTGGTCACATGTAATTTCAAAGCAACTCTTCTTTGTGACTAAGGCACATTATTTAGTATATAAGAGTCAGTAAGGTAAAAAAAAAATCCCCAAGTGACAATAACCCAAACCAATCAATATCCTTAAAATTATAAACAGAGATAAAAAGTTATTGTTTCTCCCATAAGCTTAGTATTTTACTGCAAGTAAAGTACATTTTACTACAATATTATGAAGCAAAATTAAAACAGAAAACTGCTGGAGGTGTGCGTGAAAAAAGAAATCTCAAATAAATAAAATTACTTTCAATAAATCCTCAAAAAGAAAGAAGAAATTCCTTGGTACATCAGGAGATCGACAAAGAACACATGATACACAAAAGTAAACAAAGAACAAAAGGATGGAAAAATATATGGCCTAAATTGTTCTGTGGTGTCTGTTACTTTGTATCCAAGCAATTTGATATGTAGGAAGCAGGACAGAATAACTTGAAATCTCTTAGGATAAAGAAAGCCCTTGAACCCACAGAAGACAGTAGGTGCATTAATACATGTTCCGACAATGATGTGTTTTGGGGAGGCAGGGATGACACGGTGATTTGGACAGTGTTCATAGCAACATCTGTCAAACACTTTCTGTATGCTACATGCTATGTGAGTACTTTACACATATTATCATAATTCTCACAGTAACTCTTTAAACAAAGCTCTATTACTATCTCCATTTTAAGACAAGGAAACAAAGACTTACCAAGATATTTTCCTCCAGATTACAGAGAAGCAGAGACTTGAACTTAGGCAAGGAGTTTCCAAAGAACTACAAAATCTGTGTGCTGCCTCCTATGCTATACTGCTATGGGAAGCTGGTCCCTACAGCAAATCTGTCAAACACCTTTCAATCTTGTCTGCTCTGCCACTCTCATTGCTGCTGTGACTTGGGGTGAGTGTGCATAATGCCTGCTACTGTGGAACCAGAATTAAGGAGGTGGTGAGAAGGTATATTCTATTTCTAAGACCAAAAGACTAATACTACTCAATGAGTAAAAAAACAAAGAAGGGAAGGAATTCAGGGGTATTCAAATAGGAAAAGAGGAAGCCAAGTTATCCCTCTTTGCTGACCATATGCGTCTATACCTCAAAAATCCAAAAGAATCTGTCAAAAACCAACTTACACTGATAAAGAACTTTGGCAAAGTCTTGGGGTACAAAACAAATGTGCAAAAGACAGGTGCATTCTTATACACCAACAACAAGCAGGCAGAGAACCAAATAAAAAGCTCAATCACAATCCCATTCACAATAGCCACAAAAAATAAAATAAAAAAAAACACCTCAGCATCTTCCTAACCAGAGAAGAAAAAGACCTTTACAATGAGAACTACAAAACACTGCTCAAAGAAATCCAAGAAGACACAAACAAATGGAAAAATATTCCATGCTCATGGACAGGAAGAATCAATGTTGTTAAGATGTCCATCCTACCAAAGGCAATCTACAGATTCAACGCAATACCCATTAAATTACCAACATCATTCTTCTCAGACCTGGAAATGACAATACAGAAATTCATATGGAAACATAAATGACCATGAATAGCCAAAACAATCCTTAGTAAAAAAAAACAAAACAAAACAAAAAACAGGAGTGATCACACTTCTAGAGACTTCAAACCTTATTATAAGGCTACAGTAATCAAAACAGCCTGGTACTGATACAAGAACAGGCATATAGACCAATCAAACAGGATAGAGATTCCAGAAGCAAAGCCTCAATATCTCAACAAAATCACCTTTGACAAAGCCTCCAACAACAACCACCGGAAAGAGGAAAACCTATACAGTAAATGGTGCTGGGAAAACTGGCTGATCACACGCAGAAGATTGAAACAGGACGCTACCAATCACCATACACAAAAATTAACTCGAAATGGATCAAAGACCTAAAAGTAAAACCTCAAACTATAAGAATCTTAGAAAATGTAGGAGACACTCATGAAAATTGGAACCGGCAACCAATTCCTGATCAAAGCCCCAAGTGCCCATACCATAAAAAATAAGACAGACAAGTGGGACCTCATCAAACTGACGAGCTTCTGCAAAGCAAGAGAGCAAGGAGACAGCCCACAGAATGGGAAAAAATATTTTCCAACTGTATATTTGACAAAGGCATAACATCTAGGATCTACAAGGAACTCAAATGTGCCAAAAAGAATAAAACAAACAGCCCCATTAAAAAGTGGGCAAAAGACATGAATAGACACTTCTCAGAAGAAGATATACAGGCAGCCAACAGACACATGAAAAAGTGCTCAACCACACTAATCATGAGAGAAATACAAATCAAAACCACACTGAGATACCACCTAACCCCAGTAAGAATGGCCACCATTAGTAAGACAAACAACAACAGATGCTGGTGAGGATGTGGAAAAAAAGGAACATATCTACACTTCCATTAGGAATCCAAACTAGTGCAACCTCTTTGGAAGACAATGTGGTGATTTCTGAAAGAACTAGAAATTGGCCTTCCATATGACCCAGCAATTCCCCTATGGGAATATACCCAGAGGAACTCAAATCATTCTACAAAAAAGATACCTGCACACACATGTTTGTTGCAGCTCTATTCACAATAGCAAAAACATGGAACCACCATGCTGCCCATTGAAGCTGGAATGAATTTTTAAAAAATGTGGTACATATACACAATGGAATATTATGCAGCCATAAAGAAGGACAAACATACGGACTTGGCAGCATCTTGGATGGATTTAGAGTTGATCATACTCAGTGATCTATCACAGAAACAAAGAACAGAGCAACCATATGTTGTCACTCATAAGCAGACCTTGAACAATTATCATAATACTGTAAGAAAGAGATTGGCAGTAGTGAGAAACTGCCAGGGTAAGGGGGGTGGGATTGGCAGTCAAGGGAAACTGCCAGGGAAAGGAGGGGCACACCTCATCAACAAGGGTACCTGCATAATGAACATTTGCATACTTAATCCTGAATTGTACCCCACATCTTTAAAATACATTTAAAAAATATAAAGAATCAAATACAAAAGATGCCTAATGGTTTATCAAATTGATATTACAAAGCTATATATTACATAGCCTGGACACAATTATTTGAGTGTGCATTATAGAGATATAGCTTAATCCAAAATGAACTCCAGAGAAGACCTAAAAGTTACTTAGCAGGTTATTTAAACTCCAAAAATAAAAATAAAAAATAAAGAAATGATATGGAGCATGTGATGTCTAGTATAAACCAATTCAGTCACATGGTTGACTAAAGTAACCTTGTTTGCAAAGAATATATATTTAATACTACTGTTTAGCTGGTCTCTTTTTATGGAGAACTGTTTGCTAGCACTCTCCCTTTAAACATAAGTACTGTATAGCTGATCAACACATATGAAGTATTTATCAAATTAAAAAGGTTATAAATACCATAAGAACATTAAGACACTTAAGAGTAAGCTCTGTCTTGAAAGTACAAAGTCTATTTCAGGGTCTCTCAACCTCATTTTAGGCTCGACTACTCTTTATTGTAGGGAGTTTTCCTGCACATTGTAGCATGCTTGCTTAGCAGCATCCTTGCCTCTACTCACCAAATACTCATATCAT